TGCCACCTGCAAGTGGCCACCGTCGCTGCTAGGATTTGTCTATCGACGCCACGAACGCGAGACCAAGTCTATCCAGCGAGAGAATCAATTCAAAGCAGAATCATGGCCATATCGAACCAATTTATTGCATTTCAAGGCAGTGCCACCTGCAGGTGTCGACCTCATCAGCAAAGGTTTTTCCATTAAAGCAACGAACTCCTGACCATGTCCATGCAGCGGGAGAAACGAATCAAAGCAAAATGATGCCCAAATCGAAACATTTCACAGCATTGCAATGCTGTGCCACCTGCAAGTGTCGACCGGATCAGCAAGAGTTTTTCTATCGATACCAAGAACAGACCAATTCCGTCCAGTGAGAGAATCGATGTAAAGCAAAATGATGCCGAAATCGAACCAATTCACAGTATTGCAAGGCAGTGCCACCGGCAGGTGTCCACCATTGCTGGAATAGTTTTTCTATCGATACCAAGAACTCCAGACCAAATCCATCCAGTGAGAGAATCGATGTAAAGCAAAATGATGCCCTCATCGAACCACTTCACAGCATTGCAAGTCAGTGCCACCTGGAGGTGTCCACATTTGCTGGTATAGTTTTTCTATCGATACTAAGAACTCCAGACCAATTCCATCCAGTGAGAGAATCGATGTAAACCAAAATGATGCCGAAATCGAACCAATTCACAGCATTGCAAGGCAGTGCCTCCGGCAGGTGTCCACCATTGCTGGAATAGTTTTTCTATCGATACCAAGAACTCCAGACCAAATCCATCCAGTGAGAGAATCGATTCAAAGCACAATGATGCCCTAATCGAACCAATTCACAGAATTGCAAGTCAGTGCCACCGGCAGGTGTCCACCATTGCTAGTATAGTTTTTCTTTCGATAACAAGAACTCCAGACCAATTCCATCCAGCAAGAGAATCGATTCAAAGCAAAATGATGCACTAATCGAACCATTTTATTGCATTTCAAGGCAGTGCCACCTATAGGTGTCGACTTCATCAGGAAGAGTTTTTCCATTAAAACAACGAACTCCAGACCAAGTCCATTCAGCGAGAGAAAATCGATATAAAGCAGAATGATGCCCTAATCGAACCAATTCACAGGATTGCAAGGCAGTGCCACCTGCAGGTGTCCACATTTGCTGGTATAGTTTTTCTATCGATACCAAGAACTCGAGCGCACGTCCATCCAGCAAGAAAATCGATTCAAAGCAGAATGATGCCCTAATCGAACCAATTCTTAGTGTTACGAGGTAGTGCCACCTGCAGGTGTCGACCTAATCAGCAAAGGTTTTTCCATTAAAGCAACGAACTCCTGATCATGTCCATGCAGCGAGAGAATCGATACGAAGCAAAATGATGCTCGAATCGTACGACTTCACAACATTGCAAGGCAGTGCCACCTGGAGGTGTCGACCTCATCAGCAAGAATTTTCCTATCGACAGCACGACCTCGAGACCAAGTCCATCCAGCGAGAGAATAGATTCAAAGCAGAATGATGCCCTAATCGAACCAATTCTTAGTGTTACGAGGTAGTGCCACCTGCAGGTGTCGACCTCATCAGCAAGAGTTTTTCTATTGACACCAGAAACTCGAGACCAAGTCCATCCAGCAAGAGAATCGATTCAATGCAAATTGATGTCCTAATCGAACCAATTTACAGCATTGCAAGGCAGTGCCACCTCCAGGTGGCCACCATTGCTGGTACAGTTTTTCTATAGATACCAAGTACTCGAGACCAAGTCTATCAGCGAGAGAATCGATTCAAAGCAAAATGATTCCCGAATCGTTCTAATTCACAGCATTGCAAGGTAGTGCCACCTGCAGGTGGCCACCGTCGCTGCTAGAATTTATCTGTCGACGAACGCGAGACAAAGTCCATCCAGGGAGAGAATCGGTACAAAGCAGAATAATGCCCTAATCGAACCAATTCATATTATTCGAAGGGAGGCCCACCTGCAGGTGTCGACCTCATCAGCAAGAATTTTCCCAATAAAGCCAAGACCTCCAGATCAAGTCCATCCAGCGAGAGAATCGATTCTAAGCAGAATGATACCCGAATCGTACGAATTCACAGTATTGCAAGGCAGTCCCACCTGCAGGTGGCCATCTTCGCTGCTAGAATTTTTCTATTGACACCACAAACTCGAGACCAATTTTATCTAGCGAGAAAATCGATTCAAAGAAGAATGATGCCTAAATTAAACCAATCAATCTCATTGGAAGGCAGTGCCACCTGCAGGAGGCCACCTTAAAGGCAACACATTTACAATAATCGAGACGAAGTCGGATCCAGCTCCGATGTTGAATCAAAGTCGAATATAAAGTCTAAATCGAATGAATTCACAGCATTGCTATTCCGCTCCACCTGCAGGTGGGCATCTCATCAGGCAGAGATTTTTAGAATCCTGTGGGAACTCGAGACAAAATCCATGCCACACCAATGTCGATTAAACGATGAATGATACCTGAATCGAATCAATTAACAGCATTGCAAGATAGTGTCACCTGCAGGTGGCAACCTCATTAGCAAAACATGTTCAATAACCGCTAAGAAATCGAGACGAACTTGATCCAGCTCCGGTGTCGAATCAAAGTCGAATCACACCAAAACCGAATGAATTCACAGTATTGCCTGACAGTTCCACCTGCAGGTGGCGACTTTATCAGCAAGAGATTTCTAATATCCACTATAAACTCGAGACCAATGCGAACCTGCTCCGATATCGATTAAATGACGAATGATTTCCAAATCGAATGAATTTACAGCATTTTCAGTGTCAACTGCAGGTGGCCACCTCATCAGCAAAACATTTATAATAACCGCTACGAACTCGAGACCAACTACTGCGATGTAATTGCGAAGCATAATGGTGGACGGTAGGAACTCGAGACAAAATCCATGCTGCTCTGATGTCGATTAAATGACGAATGATTTCTATATCGAATGAATTCACAGCATTGCAAGAGAATTCCACCTGCAGGTGGGCACCTCATCAGAAAGAGAGTTCCTACCGTACACGGTAGGAACTCCAGAAAAAATCTATACTACACTTACGTCGATTAAATGCCTAATCATACCGAAATCGAATCAATTTACAGCATTCCCAGACAGTTCCACCTGTCACCTCATCAGTAAGGCCACCTCATCAGTAGGGTATTTAGAATACCCGCTAAAAACTCGAGACCAACTCAGTCCTACTACGATGTTGATTCTAAGTCGAATTATATTTACATCGTATCAATTAAAAGCATTGTAAGGCAGCGACAAATGAAGGTTGCCACCTCATCAGCATGAGATTTTTAATACCCGATACCAACTCGAGACCAAGTCTGCTCCGATATCGATTAAATGACGAATGATACCTCAATCGAATCATTTCAAAGCATTCCATGACATCTGAAGGTTACGACCTCACCCGCAAATGTTTTCGCACTTACGTCACGAACTCGAGACCAACTAAATCCTGCTCATATGTCGATTCAAAGCATAACGATAACTAAATCGATTAATTCACAGCATTGCTAGACATTGCCATCTGCAGATGGCGACCTCATCATCTAGAATTTTTCTCCCGACGCCAGGAACTCTAGACCAACTCCATCCTGCTCCGATATCGATTTAAAGCACGATACCTAAATCGAATGAATTCACTGCATTGGAAGACATTGGCACCTGTAGGTTGGGACCTCACCACCATGTTTCCCCACTGACGTCACGAAGTCGAAACCAAGACCCTCCTGCTCCAATGTTGATTCAAAGACGAATGATACATAAATCCCAATAATTCACAGCATTGCAAGGCAGTCTCACCTACAGGTAGCGACGTCATTATCTAGCTACCTCACCCACGCCTCGAACTCCAGACCAACTGCATCCTGTTCCGATGTCGATTTAAAGGTACCTAAACTAACCAATTGCAAGGCAGTGCCCCCTGCATGTGTCGACCACATCATCAAGACGTTTACAATAACCGCCATGAAGACGAGACCAAGTCAATTTAAATACTGTAGGAATTATTTTCAAAGCCGAATTATACTACATCGAGCACTTCATAGCATTGCAAGGCCGAGCTATCATGGTGGCGAACTCATCAGGGTTTTCCTGGAGCATTTCTGTGGATTATTTGTGTGGAATGTGGAGCTTTTCTCCTGCAAAACTCGTGTCAACATGAGTCACATCTAAGATGATCTTCCCTGGCAATCTTGATTTCGGGAACTAAACCTCCTTTTGGCCAACAATGTGACCATTGACACGTATGCACTACTCGAGGTGCTCTATTGATCGGTATCGGCTTCATCGTCGGACACAATTTGGCCATCTCCTTATTATTAATAATAAGGATTCACCTCTTTTTCCTTTTTCATGTTTCCTGTCCTTAAACCTAGTCTAGTATAGCTGCTATAATGTATTCCACTGTTGTAATTTACTTACACGTTATATCAAAACAAATTACCAATAACTTTTAACCTAAATATATCTGCCGATACTGGAGCTATTTCCGTGAAACTTTCACTTAGCTCACTTTTTTCACTCTGAATTGATATTTTTTTATTCATATACAATTCATTGAGAACAAGTTCATGAAAACCATTTGCATGAGATATCCCATCCAATGAATGAAATTAAACAGAGGAGGAGCTCGACGAGGTCTGGATGACCAGGAAGTACAGTGCTCGAATGTTTCCTCCACACCACTACCAATAGGAGCACTTGTCCATACTCAATTTCTAACTACTTTTCAATAATTGCTGAGAGTATTGTTTCGGCTCAACAATTTCGGATGACACTTTGTTTCATTTATAATATATTCTTGACTCGTGACTTGACATTTTATTTCTTCACTAGATCCTTTATTCCTTGAAGGAGTCTTTGTGCCTATGAAACGTCGGTTTCAACCGTTTATTCAAGTGATCGATGTAAAGGTTCTGTGGTTTCACATTTATTCACTACTCGTATACATGTGGATTGTGGCTTGCAGGAAGACTAGTTTTCATGGGTCTTTAGTCTTTTAAAAAGACTAAAGCTAAAGATTTCTTCAAAAGCTGAAGATTTATTCCAAATTTACTTTCATCCTTGTTGAAGAACGAAGCAGTTAGATTCAGAATTCAGTCGTTATTGGGGTATCCAGTCTCTTTTCGATTACCAATTCAATTTGAATAATTGCTCATTGAAAGGCTTTGGCATTATTTGAATGAAATCTCAAAATCTCAATGATCTTTTGGGATTATATCAAGCTTAGCAGAGTGTAAGTTTCATGAAAATCCATCGATCAAGAGCATTGAAATGCAGGTTCAAATTTCTTGGTCATTCTGTTTGCCACACCCTGAATATCATTTTTGTAATTGATGAAATTGTGAGCCGATGAAGGCTTACTCAGAACTATATAATAGCTAATAGAGCACACCTCCAATTCTTCTAGTACACGATGTTTGCTCACTTTTATACCACGTTTGTCAATTACGAAAATCAATATGCTGGGAATATCATCCAGCATATTGCATGAGAGTCATTGGCAATGTAAATGCAGGGTATCCCAGAATTCATCACATTCTCCATGTGTTTTTGTAGCAATAGGTATTCTGAGTAGGAATCTCACAAGGATAATTCATGTTTAAATGCTGTCTGCTGTTTCTTGTGGCAAGAATGCCCCATATCCTATATCTTAGCTTTCACTAAGAAAATATATTTCTTTTTAAATGACAATTTGGGACACCCTTTATATATTTAATGCTTCAAGACATTCATCAAAAGGAGAACGAGGGCAGATTATATTCAAATGTGATTTCATGAATTTAAAAAAAACTTGAAAAGGACTCTCCAACAAAAATGTTTTAAAATGTTTTTTTTTTTTTTAACCCAAATATGTATCAGAAGCGAAAAAGGAGGCAGTGGGATTTGATATGGAATGAAACAGCATCATGAACAGGATCAATGCAAACCTGACATGATCTGCAGCTATACAATTGTGCAATTTGAGTAAACAAATGGCAGCTTCAGGCATTACATCTTTGCAAAGAATGATAAGAAAGTGAGGAGAAAGCTGGGCCCAATGACATTAATGCTCAAGCAAAATCAGCTTTGGCATATAAAACAGTAATTATGGAATGTAAGCACTGGAATGCTTATTTTCATGGAATTAAACTTATTCCTGTTGTAAAATAAAAATACAATTTCACTTTCATCAGTTGGCCTATTTCTTCCATCTGTTAGTAGTTTTCCTGACATGCAATAGTCACATCATCAAATACCACAGACGTGTGCTCACAGGAGAAGTACATAGGTCATACGAAAAGTCTTATGTATTGGTTCATAGTTTATTTCTCAACATAATCTAATGAAATTTTCAGGTAATGTTTTAAAGAGTGATACTGACTCAACTCATACACCATTGAGCTCCATGAATTTCTCACACTGTAGCATCAGACCATGGAAGCAAGGATATTGTCCTTTGGCCAGGTCCAGGAGCGGTGCTTTGTAGACACTGTTGATGACGTCAGCTTCCTCAAACTCATCCACACAAGCTTTCCTTCACTTTGGGGAAGAGGAACAGAGGGAAGAGCTCAGTTCGGTCTGATCTGGCAAGGAAGCTGGTGAGTGAGCACATTGATGAGTGAACACACAGTCTGCATGTTCTCTAGGATCTGGCCCTCCTTGAAAGTCATGCACATCACATTCTTTGATATGAAGTCACCAGCAGATCCCCAAACCAAACAGCCAATGGAGACTAGTACCAGCATATCCTCTGCAATTTCATTCAGCCAGCCATATGCAATAAAGGCCTGATGGAAATAGGTATTGTTGCAAGAGTCCTCATCAGAAGTGGAAGCCAAAGTTCAGGAAGCCATGGCAGACTGGGAGGTGCTCACCCATCCAACTTACCTGCTGAACCTGTCACCCTATGACTTCTTCCAGTAGTTTGACAATGCTGATGCCATCAACAATGCCTACAAAGTATCACTCTTGGAGCTGGCCAAAGAGGAACAACATCCTAGCATCCACGGCCTGATTCCAAAGCATAAGAAATGCATGGAGCTTATTAATGGCTGCATTGAGTACACATCATTCCTAAATACATTTCATGAAAATTTCATTTAATTATGTCAAGAAATAAACCACTTTTGAATCAATACTTAAAACTTTCTGATGACTGATGAGAGAAATTATCCAATGGTAGGAAGGCAGTTTTTTTTCTTCAGAAATTAAGACAAAAAACGATTTTCCATTAAGGAAGTGAACAAAAAATACTTAATAGATTTTGAATGAGGTATGAAACAATAGTATAATCAGCTAAGCATCACTTATGATTTATTCATGCAAACCAGCTCAAAAGTACACCAGGAACCACTGGACAATTAAAGACCTTCATCAACTCCATTATTGTCATAGGAAGATGGAAAAACTGTGTCCTGGACTGCTGAACTGCATAAACTGATTTAGGGTCTGATCACAACCTTGTGATCACTAAGATTAAACTGAAACTGAAATCCAACAAAAGAAGCACATGCAAATGCTTGAAATACAACATAGAAACACTGAAGAGCCCAAGCAAGAGTCAACAGTTATGAGCTCACACTCCACAATAGAATCAGGGCCCTAGAGCCTAGGCCAGGAACCTTTTTAACCATGTGAGCCATATTAAGATTGAGCTAAGTGCTTGTGAGCACAAGAAATCAGAATAACATAATTATTCCCGAAGTTCACAGCAGACATATGGATTCTTTGACACATGAGAAAAACTAAGAACCACCATGATTTTCAGCTATGACTCCATGAGCCAAACTTTTCAGATCATGGGCCAAATTTGGCTCACGAGCCATAAGTTCCTGACCCCTGCCCTAGAAGTTGTAACAACAGAGACCTGTGATAAATTTCTAGAAAGGCTTGCATGTACTATCCATGAAGTAGTTAAGGAAGTGCTGGGTTATGAAAGGAAGAAAAACAACCTTGAATTATACGGAGTAGAAAATACTCTGAAAATGACAAATGAAAGAGAAACCCATGCTAGCAAAGCCCAAGCTCAAAGCAGACTGCAACAAACTCATATGAGCTATCAAGAAATCTGTTGCTAATTATAAAAACAATTGGATAGCGAAAAAAAAAACCCATTGAACAATGGAGGCTAATGAAAAACACCAATGCCAAACGTTTTAACAAAAGATCAAAGAAATCAGCAAAGTGACAGCGCATATGAAAAGATCATCCATTAACCCTTTCAGACCTGGTATCCATTCCAATGGACATTGCATTTACATTGTGTCTATGGCAATTTCTTAGGATTCTCGTTACTTTGTGCTCCATATTACGCTACAATGGGAGAATTATGCATAACTCAGTTCTATCAGAGGCCTTTATTCACCCATTAGTTTAGTCATCTTCAGTTATTTAATTAAATGTTTAATATATTGATATAATATATGGTATGATATGGTAAATTTATACAAAATATGAAAACTACATATAAAGCACGACAATTTCAATTACAAACACGAAAAAGCTCAAAATTGCAAAAAATGATATTATTCTGATAGCAGCCTTAATTCAGGTCTGAAAGGGTTAAGACAAATGATGAAGCTCTTCTAGTGAGAAACTCTACAATTATAAAAATGAAAATGATCCATTCAAATGCCTATGTTACTCTTTGAAGCAGGCAGCTCCAGGAGGAAGAGCCTGACATACTGCTAAGAGAAACAAAGGCTGCCATAAAGAAACTGAAGAACAACAAATCTCCAGGCCTCAGCAATATTCCTTGAGAACTTATTAAGGCTGGAGGAGAGATACTTACCATCAAAATACACACAATATGCCAGCTAGCATGGAGGACAGAAACATTCTCATAAAGATGGACCAAACTGATCATTGTGGCTATTCCCTAAAAGGGTGGCATCACCAGGCATGAAATCACTGAACCACAAGACTCATTATGCATGCAAGTAAAATCCTACTAGAAATAATCCAATATCACCTGAAACCAGATGTAGAACATCCCTCTGAAGAACTGAGGATCGGCAGGATTTGGATTCCATAGAAGCATCATTGAGCAGATATTCACCTGGAAAGTGTTGGCAAAAAAATACCTTGAAGTAAAAGATCAAATGAATAACGCCTTCATTGTTCTCAAAAACAGCATATGACAGGGTCTGGCATACTGAACTCTTCCTAATCATGCACACCACATCTCAAGGAAACTTACAAACCTGCTCCAAGATCTTTACAGGCAAGCCTCCAGTGCTGTTAGGTTTGGCAACACACTGACTGACTGGTTCCCTCAAACAGTGGGAGGGAGACAAGACTGCCCATTATCCCTTAACCTCTTCCAATATTTTTCTAGAGCACATCTTAAATGAGTCTTGAGGCATTTGAAGATAGACTCAATTCAATATCAACAGGAGACAGGTATATTTGAGGTGTGCAGATGACATTGATCTAATGACGCTGTCCGACATCGCTTAAAGTGCCTCTTCAACCCTTTCCCTGGCATGTTTTCAGACACAAATTGTTACCCAGTGCACAGTGGGACAAAAGGGCATATTCCTGGCCTAAATTAAAAAGTAGAATTTTGAAGAAATATGGAATGCAAAAAATTAATTCCTAATTTTCTGTTGATTACTTCCAGGAATCGCCCAAAATATCAAATTATCCAAAGAAAACCGTTCCAAATGATCTCATAGTGACTTCTCATCGCATTGCCTCATGATGCAAATTAGAAGTCAGCAATACAAGAAAAGTAGTGAGAGGGATATTGTTGAAGCAGCACGCAATCTCAATCTTTTGTTAAATCAGCAATCATGCAGCTAGTTTTCACGTGCCTGCTGAAACCCCAGTGTTAAATATTAGAAATGCCCAAATCTCCATCGCACTCTATTGCCTTTTTTTGCAGTGTACAACAAATATGGCAGAGCAGAAATTGAAGATTAGTGTTGAGAAAAATAGGCACCATACTTGTAATAATGTAACTTAGAGTATCATATCATGCACCATGAAAGTACTGGGTGCTGCAGCTTAAAGTAGACAAGGTTCTAAGCTAATAACTCGGGAATGCTGTGTACTACAGCCTTGCTATTTTCAACATTAACCTAAGTAAGCATGTGTACATGCTGAGTAAGCATGTGTACATGCTGAGTAAGCATGTGTACATGCTTACTCAGAAATATTGTTCAATATGGCCTCCTCTGGCTTGAACTACATCCTAGAGACATCGATGAAAGCCTTCATAAACTGCACACACATGGCCCTCTGCGATGGCGGCCCACTCTTTCCTCAGGGATTTCTTCAGGCTCTCCAAACTCTGGTGGGGCTTAGCACAGGCCTTGCCCTTGAAATATGACCACAAGTTGCAGTCCAGGGGGTTGAGGTCAGGCGAGGAGGGCGGCCACTCGTCCTTTGTCAGGAAGTCTGGGAGGTGGTCCTGACACCAATTCTGCATGACCTTTGAGGTATGACTTGGTGCTCCATCTTGCTGGTAGATCCAGGGCTTCTTTCCATACAACTTCTTGGTCCAGGGGAGTAACCCCTTCTCCAGGATGGCCTTGACATAGTACTTGGTGTTCACCTTCATGCCTGGCTCGATGAAGATCAGTGGGGACCAGCCATTTTTGGACACCGCTGCCCAGACCATCACCCTGGCCGGTTTTTGGCGCCAATATACTGTGTTCTTCTCTTGAGGTAGTTGGAATGCCAGGGCTTCGAATCCTGTCATTTTGTCTGTTCCTTGCCTGCTCCACAGTGAAGTATTTCTCATCAGAGAAGATAATGGGCGTCTGCATGCCGGAATCCAAGCAGGAGAGCAACACACGGCATCAGTTATACCTCTTGGTCGCTGCCGAAATTAGATGATGCTCTGGTATATGATAGCTCTTTAATCCCATATCATCTTTTACAACTCGGCCCATGGTTCTCTCACACCAGCCTCCCCCGCCATCTTCTTGATGGACCGCTTCTCGTTCCTCTTGATCTTCTCCTGGACAGCCTTGATCAGCTGTGGCGTCCGAACTGGTGGAAGTCAAATTTGTAATGATCATGGCCTGAGAGCAGTTGATCCAATCTCTCAATCTCTTCAGTACCTTTTAGATTGTAGATTGAGTTACATTCTTGCTCTTCAGCTTCCAAATGATCTCCGATGGGGTCAACCCCTGGTGATGGTGGAATTTGCGATATCTCTTCTCTGAGCCTCCATCTTTGAAAAGGATTGTACGAGAATGATGCCATCAATTGGAAAACATTCAGCTGTCAATCCAGAATCACTCCAGAAAAAACCATGTTCCCATCACTAAACCCTCATTTTAAAATTAGCCGCCAACTTTCGTTCACCTTTGGTTGCTGCCCCCAGTACTTACTCATTGAATGCTCTCTCAAGTCTGAACAGATCAATCACGGTTTTATTCTTAGGACAAGTTGGTCTCTTCCTACCCAGAAGAAATTAGGGCGCAGAGAGATAGTCAGATTTTTGCTGAGTTTACAGCAATCTATCCAGAAAAAGGCTTCAGCTTTCTTTGTAGTAATTGCAATTTTCTGAAGTTCAATTATTTGGTAATAGATGGGTAAAGTATCAGAATTATGCAAAAAAATTCTTTCTTTTTTTTTTATTTTGGCCAGGAAAATGCCCTTTTCCCCACTGTGCACTGGGGTAACAATTTGTGTCTGAAAACATGCCAGTGATGGGGCTAATAAGGCACTGTAAGCAATGTCAGACAGCATCCGACATAGGAACACAAAGGGTTAAACTACTAGTGTTGTTCTTTCTTATTTTTCCATTAAAATAAATTCGACCTGAGGAGCCAGACAGCTTCCGAATAAATGGACCACAAAGGGTTAACAAATCCAGCATAAAATAGGGATAAGCAGAAGACTAACATCTACTAGTTTGCACACAATAAAATATCAGAATGGATGGCACTACCCTAGCAATGCCTTCAAGTAACTGGGAGCCACAATCTTGCAAGATTGTGGTTGAGCTAAGGAGTAAACTGGCACTAAAAACAACCTCATGCTTATTGAAAAAAATTTGGAAGAACAGGTGAATCAGCATACAAACCAAAGACTCCTTTGCAGCCTAGCCTATTCCATAGACATTCAAGTATTCCTTTTGGACATGGACTGGAGTACAAGAAAAGCACAAGCTTTTAAACTGAAGCATTTAAAAGAGCATTTGAACTGAAAATGCACTAGAAAGTTTTCACTATCCAATGGTACAAAAAAAAGTTATTAATGAACAAATCAGGAGATTGGCCAATATAACAGAAGAGAACAAAATCTTGAATATAGTCTAAAGGAGGTTAAAACAGTGGCTAAGTCAAGTGCTGAGGACAGAAGGGGATTGGCTCTCCAAAATCTGTCTGCAAGGAAAGACAGCTAGCATGAGAAGGCAGGGTTGCCCCAGGTTTACAAAGGTTAACTTGGTCTTGCAAAACACCAGCAAGAACCGCAGAAGCAGCCAAAAGTAAGGCAGAAGATTACCAGCATTGGAAACGTTTTATCAAAGAGCATGTCCATCAGGACAACTTGTAGAAAGAGGAAAGAAGAAAAGATGAAACAATTGACAAGCTTTCTGACACTTTCTAAGATAAATAAAATTGCCAAAAACATTCACACATTCAATTAGCTTTTCAAATTAATCAGCACAAGAAAATCATATTTCAAAACCTTTCATTCATTCATCCTAGAACCATTCATTGCCTGAGAGTTCTTGAGTGTATCTACACCTTCATCCTTTCCCCCTAAATCTGAAAAAAAAAGAAGAAAAAGGAGCATTGCTAGCTGCCATTTCCATACAGGGTGTCCCAGAAGTCTGGACCCATAGAGAAAATAGACATTCTTAAAGTCAAACAAACACATTTCTAATGAAGGTTTTAAATATTTCAGGAAATAAAATACCCTGATGGGTCAGTATACCAATCAAGAGAAGGTGGAATTGGTGTTGTTACATGTTTCTAGAAAAAGCCAGAGGGAGGGCATGTCAATTATTTCACAAAGAACACACTGAGAAGCCAAAGCCAAGTCATCGATTCGACAGCAAAATGCTTAAACAATTAAAGATACTAGAAGTGTTGCTGATAAACCTCGTACTGGTTGTCCTCGCTCCTCTGCAGATGAAACACATCGTGAAAATGTTCTTTCAGAGGTTGCAAGAAGCCCTAAAACATCATTGAGAAAAATTAGTGAAGAAGCAGGAGTTAGCCATACTTCTATTGCAAGAATTTTAAAGGCAAACAAATACCACCCAAACACCTGTGTTCAAGCTCTTCATGGAGATGATGCCAACCGGCATATGGAATTTTGCAAGTAGATAATGCATAGACTTGATGTCCAACCAATATTAATATCTGACAATCTTCAGCGATGAAGCCACATTCCATTTGACCAGGAGAGTCAAGCATCATAATTGCCAATACTGGTGCAATGAGAATCCTAATTGGACAGATGAAGCTCATGTTCAAAACAATCCTAAAATCATGATGTGGTGTGCTATTCACAGTGGCGTTCAGTTACTGCACCTACTTTTACGAAGATATTGTTACAGGTGCTAGCTACCTCACAATGTTACAAAAAGTTTTGGTTCCTTATTTGGACAGTATCCCTTTAGAGCAATTGAGAAAGGTGTGGTTACAACAGGATGGGGCTCCCCCACATTATACCACTACTGTCCAAACTGGCTGGATGAAACAGTACCTTTGAGGTGGATAGGATGCCGCAGCCCAGTAGAATGGCCCCCACGTTGTCCAGATCTATTGTGACTAGACTTTTTCCTATGGGGACACCTGAAATCTGTGGTTTATAGCCCAAGACCAAGCAGTATCACAGAGCTGAATGAAAACATTCAGAATGCATCCTCTCAGATCAGTGTTTCCATCTTAAGAAACTTTCAAAGAAACATTCACACAAGAATTTAAAAGTGTATGGCTGTTAATGGCATGCAATTTGAATAATAATTGAATTTAGAGTAAAAAAGAGTATTCTTTCCTATGGGTCCAGACTTCTGGGACACCCTGTACCTAATTACTCATATGAAAAAAAGATCACCAGCCAAACTGGACCAAACTACAAGAGAAGTGATGTAGATTGGGTGTGGGATGGAGATATCAGGAAGACAGGAATGCACCACCCCACAGCAACTGATGTTGCTGAGGCACATTCCCCCCCCCCCCCACTTCTTTCATACATCTCCATCCCTCTGGGACAATCCACATTTCTATTCTTCCCATGCTTTCCATTGACTAAGCTTACCCATGTTTTACTCATCAGAACAAGGGAAACCCCAGGGAAAGTAGTGCCACTCCCCTCATAATACATATACAAAGGGTCCCTCAAAAAATATGTCACAAAATGATGTTACAGACAAGCACATGAGGGTTATAGGTGCCAATCTGCTGGATTTTTCCTCATGTAATCCCCTGTTTTTCCTTCTTCTCCACTTGTCCCACTTGTGTACCAGCTTGCACACACTGGTGGCATTGGATGATGTAGCCTAGCATCAGAGCCATTTGCACACAGCTAATTACACTTCACGCATGAAATACCAGCCATCAAGAGTTTCTTGGAATAGTTAGTGGAGATGGTGGTGTCTAGTGCAAGATTCAAATGATGTATGGGGAAAACCATTGAACCCAGAATGTCCATTGCCACAGTTGTCTCCTGTGTCATGTGTGACCCTGGATTGTTGTGCCAGAGGACTGCCCCTTTTATGCAACAGTCCAATCGTGCATATTGCATCTGGCAAACTTCCCAGATGAGCAGCATAATACACTGCTTTTACAGCAATGCTCATTCCAGGACTTCCACAAGGATCACACCAGAGATGTCCCAGAGATGCAACAAGCTGTATATGAATGGTTTTGGTGCAACATATTTCCATTCAGCCAAGGGTACCCCAATCTCCAGTCCTTCATGGGTAGATCCTAACTATACCGCAGCAGCATCTACTGTAAAACCTTTCCTATTTGAACTGGCAGCATTGCAATGAATTAGCAGCTACTCACATTGAACTTGATCACATCTAAATTAACTGCTCTTCCTTTCTAGTAAGAGCCTGCTAATACAGCACAGTCATCTCCTCTGCCTATCTTACACAAACCATGCTCATCCAGAAGTTGGGAGCCTGAAAATGTTTTTAGGACAGCTGGCACCTACAAACTTCTGATTAGCTTATCTGGGCAGTGGCATGCCAAAGGGGGGGGGATTTTGGGGGTCATAAGGGGGTCACCCCCCCTTTTGAGATATAGTTTATAGGTTTGAGTCTCAAAAATATTTAAATATGGCTACAAATACAGGGTGGGTTACCAATTTTTCATGCATCAATTGAGATTTTTAGGGCACCCAAAGTCTTCTGATCTTAATTAAGTTTTTAAAATTGCACCCTCCCACCCCTAGTGTTCCCATATCAAAGTAACCTGATGCCCTATCAGCTTACTCTCCACTGTAAATGTGGGTTTAAAAGTTAAAATCACCCATCCCATTCATGCTAATTAAAGAATTAAAGATGAGGTTCACCTCTTCTTGCAGGTTACATGGCATAACTAAGGTAACAACTTGCAAACTCACAGTTGAAATCCCAGTCATATGACCAGGACAGCGGGACATCTTCCCATTGTCTGGTCATTAGCTTCATGTAGGACTTGCACTCAGTCAGCTAGTACAATGAGCAGGTTCCACTGGGGCTGGTGAGATCCATGGTGACAGCCCACCACCTGGTGAAGGGGCCAGTCCCCCCATTAACTCTTTTTTTTAAATAAATAAAAAAATTCATGGGTGGAAACACCATTACCTGACCGTTCACTGGTCAAACACCAGTTGCCTCATGAACAATCAAAATAGACAAGAGAATAATAAACCACCCACATGACCAAAGCACAAGACCACACATTAGAAATTCCACAAACTTCAGACCCATATGAGGGAAGTACTGCTACCATCATGGAGGAGGAGTATAACCAGTCTGAGTCCATACTTGTTCAAAGATTGCTCAGCCTCATTCAAGTCTCAATGCCACATCCAGTAATCAGTCACTCACCCAAGCCTGAACACTTTGAAATCTTTTACCCTTGTCAAGGAAGAGTTTTAAGAGACCTCTCCATCCTGAATTTAGCAGGTAAGCATTTGCATAACTCTCCCACTGAGGTATTGAGTGAGGCACACTCCAGTAGGAGAGGCACACAGTTGAGAGAATCAATTTGGAACTGAGAGGTTACCCGAGATACTTTCTTGCGAGAGATCAGAGTTCAGACTATGCAGATATAACTCATGCAATGAGTTAACCCATTGAGCAGTGAGTTTTTTTGCAGATGTGCTCTAGCTCAGAATTTCTTACTTTTATGAACATAAACAGTTTTAATCTCAGAAATATGTCGAAATAGCTTAAATTCAACATTAATAATCTTGGGTAATCAGTAGTGCTTCAGGGTGTGGTATTATTATTTTTAAACAATAATGAAATGTTAGAAATATAATGTAATAATTAACTTATATTTTTGACAATTTTTTTACCACTTAGACATGAAAAACAGACAAAAAAGCAATAAGTAAATGGAAGTAGCTTTTCACCAACTAGATTCTTTCTTCCAATGTGTGAAACAGCAGCTTATTTAATCTTCAAATGAAAGTATATTACCTTAGTATTAAATCACATTCCTAATCAAAAAAGCAATAAGTAAATGGAAGTAGCTTTTCACCAACTAGATTCTTTCTTCCAATGTGTGAAACAGCAGCTTATTTAATCTTCAAATGAAAGTATATTACCTTAGTATTAAATCACATTCCTAAAATTTAAGTTTTATTCTATACATTGAATTCCATATGTAGCATGATTTTCACTTCTCCACAGTAGGAAATTGCTGTAACCATTGGAATGTCTATGCAGATGACACTGCCCCCCCCCACCCCCTAAGAAATGACACGAAATCAAAGTAAAGTTCTGATACAGAATTGATAAAATGTAAAAGAGGTGAAATACGGAAGAAGCAATTGACTTAATCCTCTTTTCCTTCTCATTTCCTGTAAGGGAGTTTGTCATGTAATGCCTCCTGGTACAAACCGCATCTCATCCACCAACACCTTACAAATGAGACTTTAGTCATCAGTCTATTGCCAGTTCCTAGGCTTTCCAGATTTGTCATTGAAAATTGAGAGTACACCTCATCTGCTTAACTTTTTTAATGGAATGGGCATCTGTCAGTTAGAGAGTCGCACTGAAAACCCTCTTTCACGAACAACCAAAAAGTTTGTATTTAATTTTTTCTCTGTTGCTTTCTGTACTACCTTGAATATAGCAGTGCTGAATAAGGTGAGTCATATTCAGGAACCTACAAATTTAAGCTCAAACTGATGACACCTGTACAAATGTGGCAATTTGAATTTGAAGATGCAGGACATACCAGTACAGCCACACTCTTGCGGGACTAGGAGCTCATGGTCGTACCGGTACGGCCAAACTGCTCAATGTGTTAATGACTGATTAATGGACCTAGAGTTGAGAATTCAATAAGATAGAGCTCTCCCAAGACACCTGTGGATTCAAGGAAGGGTGTTCTCCTGCCTGTCATGACAATGTACGGCCAAACTGCTCAATGTGTTAATGACTGATTAATGGACCTAGAGTTGAGAATTCAATAAGATAGAGCTCTCCCAAGACACCTGTGGATTCAAGGAAGGGTGTTCTCCTGCCTGTCATGACAACAGCACAGCTTCCTTCAGCTGAGTCTGAGGCATGGGGAATTTCTCATGGTATAACACAATGGTCTGGGTACCAGGCTCACTCTTCTCTGCTTCACTTGATCCAAATCCCAAACTAGCCAAAGATCAACTAACAAAAGTCCAGTAAAGTAGGCTCCTCTACTAAGAGTACTGAGACTGAGCAATCCCCAAACAAACCCCAACAGATGATCCCTGATGTACTGTCTGCTATACAGACAAGTAAGGCCTCACCAGAGCAGATATCATTCAGAACTTCACTAGTTTCTTTTGCCAGGACACTTCCAGCTGATGGGTCTGATACAAACCCCAACAGATGATCCCTGATGTACTGTCTGCTATACAGACAAGTAAGGCCTCACCAGAGCAGATATCATTCAGAACTTCACTAGTTTCTTTTGCCAGGACACTTCCAGCTGATGGGTCTGAGTCTCTTGAAGGGGCTCTGAGACTTAAAACTTGTGGTTGAGACATCCTGCAATCGTCCTAGTCTCAGGCAAACTGTGTTCAATATCCTCATAGGTGAGTTGGAATGACTTGGACCAAACAGGACCAGGCTTCCCATAGTCCATGAGAAATGGATCTCACCCATGAGACAAACTGGAGAGACACTATCAGTCAATTTAACACTTGACTGTTCCATCTTTCCTTGCTAAAACAAAGTTCCTTGTTGGACTCCATTCACCTAAAATGGAATTATCACACAAATCCAGGAAAAAGTTCCAGTATCAAGGCAATATCTGCACCAAATTTTTTTCAGTGGATAAGATAATAAGCAAACCCACTCCCCACATTGGCTGTCATAAACCCCTAGCAACTCAGGTTGGCCAGGAGTGAAAAATCCTTCTTCCAATCAATCAGAGCAGCAGTCCCAAGGTCAGGCATGCCCTCCTTCAATCACTGAGCATCAGTTCTAGTAAAGACACACAACACTCATCTCCATGAAACCACCATCAATTACCCTATCTGCATTCTTTCTCTTCACAAATCTTCAGTTGATCCATCTCATCCAGTGAACTCATTGTCTCATGAGAACATTCCAGGGGGGGAAAGGTAAGTAGTCAGTCAGATGGCAATTGGATGAATTTTTATATCCTCCTCCCTTCCCTTCAACCTATATCTCTACTTTAACATTTTGGAAGACAAGTTTTACATTGTGTACTAAATGGAGGAGGGAAGCAGGGCTTCCCAACCCCGGGGGTCGCCAAGATCACACTTGGGGTCGCAAACCTGCAACTAAATGCAAGTTATGTTTTGTTTGCAATTTTAGTGCATAGGTGGGGGAGCCTGCCTGGGGTCCTGAATGGTATGATTGTCATTTTTGGGGGTTGCATGCAAAAAAAGTTGGGAAACTCTGCCCCACAGGATGTCAGAATATGAGTTGGTACTGTCATTTTTGCACTCCTTGGATACTATAAATTCTATGCTATGCTGGTGTCCCCTGGACTTACAACAGTGGGATGTGGGCCGGGGTGGTCCTAGCTATTTCAGTGCNCATGAAGAGCTTGAACACAGGTGTTTGGGTGGTATTTGTTTGCCTTTAAAATTCTTGCAATAGAAGTATGGCTAACTCCTGCTTCTTCACTAATTTTTCTCAATGATGTTTTAGGGCTTCTTGCAACCTCTGAAAGAACATTTTCACGATGTGTTTCATCTGCAGAGGAGCGAGGACAACCAGTACGAGGTTTATCAGCAACACTTCTAGTATCTTTAATTGTTGCAGCATTTTGCTGTCGAATCGATGACTTGGCTTTGGCTTCTCAGTGTGTTCTTTGTGAAATAATTGACATGCCTCCCTCTGGCTTTTTCTAGAAACATGTAACAACACCAGTTCCACCTTCTCTTGATTGGTATACTGACCCATCAGGGTATTTTATTTCCTGAAATATTTAAAACCTACATTAGAAATGTGTTTGTTTGACTTTAAGAATGTCTATTTTCTCTATGGGTCCAGACTTCTGGGACACCCTGTACGGAAATGGCAGCTAGCAATGCTCCTTTTTCTTCTTTTTTTTTCAGATTTAGGGGGAAAGGATGAAGGTGTAGATACACTCAAGAACTCTCAGGCAATGAATGGTTCTAGGATGAATGAATGAAAGGTTTTGAAATATGATTTTCTTGTGCTGATTAATTTGAAAAGCTAATTGAATGTGTGAATGTTTTTGGCAATTTTATTTATCTTAGAAAGTGTCAGAAAGCTTGTCAATTGTTTC